CGCTTGGACCTGATACTCGCCGCCGCGGCGGTGGCGGCCCGGGGCGGCGCCGCCGCATCACTCGCCGCCGCGGCGGGTGCGGCGGGGCTAAGCGCAGAGCTCGCCCTCGCACGTGCTGTGCGGCTCGACCTGCGGAGACGGCTCCGCCGCCACGGCCTCGCCCCGCTGCGGCGCGTCGCGCCACGGCACGAGGCGTTCGAGAGCGCCGGCGCCGGCGCCGCCGTGAGTTGCGGTGGCGGCGCCCGAGAGGCGGGGGAGGGCGGCGAGGAGGGCGGAGAGGAGGGCGGCGAGGAGGGCGGCGAGGAGGGCGGCGAGGAGGTCGGAGAGGAGGGCGGAGAGGAGGGCGGAGAGCCTCGGAGAGCGAGCGAGTCTGCGGTAGCTCAAGCACTGCTCTGCGCTGCTGCGCCCGGCGCGGGCTTCGGCTCTCGGGGGGGGAGGGCTGTTGAGTCTGATTAGTGAATTGAGTGTCAGCCATGCACAGGCGCGGCCTTCGGCTCTGCGGGGGCCCTGCTGATGAGGAGGTACCGGTGGACCGGTGATTCACTACGAGTAGGCGTGGCCTTCGGCTCGGCCTAATTAAGAGTTAATTAATAGTGAATTAGGCTAGTAATTAATTAGGCGTGGCCTTCGGCTCGGCGGCGCTGCCGGGCAGGGGCGGATACTGCACGGCCGGGCTGGGTGACACTCCTAGACACTTCCTAGACACTTCCTAGACACTTCCTAGACACAGGGGCTGCACGGCCGGGCTGGGTGACGTCGGTTTGCTGGCTGCGGTGAGCGTAGCTGGGTAAGTGTAGGGCAGTGGCTCTTCACAGCTCTACCCGTGGGTAGGCGACGTCGCGGCTCGCGATTGGCCCATCGCCCCCTCCCAGCCCGACGCGGACGCCGACGGAGTGTGGCTCGCGTTTGCACGCCTGGTGGACTCTCGGCAGCCGGCGAGCGACGGCGCCGCGGCGCTGCCGGCGCTGGTTGGGACTGCCGCTGTGGCGCCGCTGCCGCTGGTCCTGTTCGGCGGCGAGCGGCTCGCGCCGATGCCGCTGCTGCACGCCGCGCTCCTGGACGACTGGATTTGCGCGAGCGACCGCCACGGCGGAGAAGCAGTCGCCGCCGTCGCCGCCGCGCGGCCCGGCATTGCAGCCGCCCTCGAGCGCTCTGCCGCCGACCCGGCCGCAGCGGCTTCGTCGCCCGCCGTCGCGTCTCTCGTCGGCGCGCTCCACGCGCTGCTCGCGGAGGACGAGGCGGCCCGAGCTGCAA